TAGGTAACTTTATGTACTAATTCACGAACGCGAAGCCGCAGAATACAACTGGTAGGAAGTAAATAAAAAAGTGCCATAATAGATATCGCCGTGTGGTCCCGGCATAGAATAGGCCACCCCTTCCTTTCCAGTGAGCGTCGTAAGAAGCAACTAAGAGAGAGCGAGGAATGAACATCAGAGTTAGAAATGTTAATTAAATTGAATGCAAATAAATGCACGAATTAAAAAAAAAATTAAGATTATTGACATTTAATCAAAAAGGTAACATAAAAATTAAAGAAAGTGTTCGCCATTTCTGAATTGATTTTGTTGATAATTTTTTAAATATTTTTTCTCCTGCATTAGTGTTATTCACATTTTAGCTTTGTTACCAAAAAAAAAATATAAATAAAATATTACGTATCTAAACTACTGTTCGATGCATTTTACCACTCCTCTATAGAGGTACACGAATAAGTGCGCACGCGCAGAACGGGTATCGGGACAAAGTATACTAACTATGGATTTATTTTATATATCCCTTACACTTATACTTACAGATTTCAGAACGTATTTCTAATTATTGATTTTACTAGCATTTGGCGTTCCATTATTTCTCTCTGCCCCAGTGAGAGACAAACGTGACGGATAATATATTTAATTTATTTATTGGTTTTTTTTTTATACAATTGAGAATGGCAAACATGCTGACGGCCCACCTGATGGAAAGTGGTAACCATCGCCTATAGACATGAGCAGTACCGTGGACATAACAGTACACACACTGTTTCGCCCATGATACCCCCCATGCGTTGCCATTCCTGAGGACTCAGGTGTTATTTCTCTGTACCCTGTATATTCACTGTCATATCCCATCTTTCAAACCGAAACACAGCCATGCAAACACAGCTGCTTCACGGTTGAAACACGAATGGGACAGAGGTACCCAAGCAATCGACTTTTGTACAAAGTCTCCTTCTGGTCAGCTTGTTTATTAGTCTAATTCTCGTACAAAATACTGATTATCATGTAAACGGATCATAAAATTAATAAAACCATCGCTATGTCCGTAATGTAATAAGACACATTTTTCTTTAACAAAAACGTGTTAATGACGTTAATACGTCCGTAGTGATTGTGGCTCTACTTCGCATAACCATAGAATTAATAGTATAAGTAAAAAATCGTCTACTTTCTATCTATTTGTCTGTCATTATTCACGGCATGTTCCTTACATATATCTCTTGCTTCCTGCATTTTCAGAACTTGGCTCATTCACGTACGCTAGTTTCAGACACTCTTGACTGAAGGTGGACTTCAGCCAGAACACGGTCTATATGATCATAACAGACTAGTACCACCCCTAGTTTCCTCTTTTATTAAATAATAACCTACTAGTATCTATGAATTCAGAGTACACAAGCTTATCTGCTTGTCTTGGTATAAATATACCAAAATATAGTGAACTAAGAAAATGATATAAGGCGAACAATAGACATCGTGTATTGTATGTGATTCCGATGCGACATACAATATAGGCTACATACGGGGACCCTTTTACTATCAGACGGGCCGTATGCTTGTTTGCCACCATAGTAGTATAAAAAAATCTATTAGCTTATACCTGCGTCCTCGTCGATATATTTACTGATTAGGATAAAAAGTAGCTTATAGTACTATACCATATAGTACGTACATGCCAAATTTCACAGTGATTGGTTTTTTTTTATACAACTTAGAATGGCAAACAAGTATACGGCCCACCTGATGGAAAGTGGTAACCGTCGCCTACAGACATGAGCAGTTCCATGGACACAACAGAGCATACTCTTTCGCCCATGATACCCCCCATGCGTTGCCATTCCTGAGGACTCAGGTGTTATTTCTCTGTATCCAGTAAATTCACGCCGTTAAGCCGTTAAGGTGCTATAAGGTAACAAACAAACAAACTCATTTTCACATTTATAATATTATATTAGTAAACATTTATCTAATCTCTTCAAATTAGTCTAAAAGACAATTTAAATCTACGAATACATGTTAAATATATATCTACATTTTCCCTTTTTAAACCTAAAAGGCAAAGAGAACAAAATTCAAAAACCGGCATGGTTTAACATCGACAAATAGCGTGGGGAAATAAAAAAATAAAAATTGAATAATCTATGGATTTATCAGAGAAATGTTATTTATTAATGTCAGTGGAGCTACAATCAAGACGACAAGAGTGACAGTATTACCTAGTTTTTATATCAAATGCCTTCTTCGTCGGCTGCAAACGGATTCCGATCGCGCGAAACAAACTATCACTTGCGCACGCGCAGGACTGCATAATTGTTTTGTTACTACTCTGTTAGGCAAAGTTCAGTTGTAAGGAAGTCTAATGATTTGCCTTAATTACTGTAATAGATTTTTTAATGGGTGAAAATGGAATGGTAACCCCGCCTGCGCTATTGGTATACACCGGCGGGCACCAGTGAGAGATGATAGGTGAGGATGAAAACAGGTCAGTTAGCTCATTCATATGAATTTCACAAGAATTAATCAAGATGATTTCTAGGAGGAACCGCGAGGAGGTCGCCTTGATAAGGTTTTTTTTTGATGGGTGCAAATATTATGGTAACCCCGACTGCGCTAACGAGATACACTGGCGGAGCACCAGTGAAGGGTGATAGATGAGAATGAAAACAGGTCAGTTAGCCCATCATGATGAATTCATCAGGAATTAACCATGATAGTTTCCAGGGAGAACAGCGAGGAGGTCGACCTGGTTGGGTATGCTAGCAATGGGATTCTCAGTTTCCATTACTAACAATCCCTTTCCTCCCTTGATAAGGTATATTGCTAGTAAGGGGGCAGTTAATCCACATTACTAACAATCCCTTTTCCCCCAATAGATATATTGCATCTTAGTCATCATGTTGGTGTTGCGGATTCAAACACTGCCTTGTCTTTTGATGGTCGCGGGTTCGAACCTCACACAATACTAATATTTATATTATATGTCTGCTTGTATTGGTCTGGGTGTTTTTTACGTTTTTTTTTTATATGCAACTTAGAATGACAAACAAGCTGACGGCCCACCTGATGGAAAGTGGTAACCGTTGCCTATGGACATGAGCAGTACCATGGACATAATAGAGTATACTGTTTCGCCCATGATATCCCCCATGCGTTGTCATTCCTGAGGACTCAGGTGTTATTCCTCTATACCCTGTAAATTCACTGTCATATCCCATCTTTCAAACCGAAACACAGCCAAGCAAACACAACTGCTTCACGGTAGAAACACGAATGGAACAGAGGTACCCAAGTAAACGACTTTTGTACAAAGTCTCCCTCTGGTAAATACTTCAGTCTGTATTCACTGTACAAACTCTGCTGAGCCGCATTAAGGACAGATCATGTTTATGATGAAGTCATCTATCTACAACACTTTTTGCCTCAACAATTAAAAAGAAACAAATAAATGGTGACTCCGTACAGACAATCGCGGTGTAGGATAACCCCCCGCTAGTGGAAGGACGACCTCGACTGTATTGCAAGAAATGGACGCAGGAGGCCTAGGACCATTCCTTTTGACAGTCTACATGGAGACCTATGTTCAACAATGGACAATCAACAGCTGGAATGAGCTTGTTTCTATCTATATTAATATATACAGCGGATAAGTTTGTCTGTTTGAACGCACTAATCTCTGTAACTATCATTCAAACTTGATTTTTTTAATTTAATGCGTCATTTCTTGAGGAGGGTTTATTTAACATCATGACGGTGACGAGTGAAGCCACAGGATGCAGTTTACACATTAATAAACCTATATGAATATTGTAAATACGAAAATTACTTTGTTTATCTATTTGTCATTTCTTAGCGCTTTAATGCCTCTATCAATCCTCATTAAGTGTGATATACACATACTAAATATTTAGGTTTTAGAAGGATATTGATATTTTTTTTCTGGTTAACCAACATCTGGTTAACCAATGGTTACGCGGACAAAGTGGCGGGCAATAAATAGCTTAATGTAAAAATAATCTTTAAAAGTTCAATTGCATTCAGGTTGCATACATACAACGTGCAATAAAAGCACATCTCCAGTCGCTATACGTAATTAAATAAGCCATCAATATTTCCAAACTCATATCGTAAATTTCATGAGCGGTAGGCGTAGCCAGCGGAATTTAATACGAAATCCTCTACCCGCCATATTGATGAGAATTTTTTCTCCCCATCCCCCCCCCCCCCCCTCTCGCGTAATTGAGCGTTGCGAAAACTATCACACTGGTAAATGATCAACCCCTACCCTCCAGTTTTCCAACATGGCTGCAATCAATAATTTGGCTGGGCAATGACTGCGATGACTTGGGCATGCGCTTTACAAGCCACCGAGTCATCGTCAAAACCTGAACTTGACTTGGCGAAAACGAAAGTTAGAGGCGAATGTTTCTATACCATTCTTGGCATTCGGTATTACGTACACTGTAGTATGTAGGACTTACTAAAAGATGATTATTTTTCTAATATTAAAAATGATGATTTTGTTAACAGATTTCTCATTTTAAATTTAAAATGAGCTTACAAATAAAACAACGATATTTGTTATATAAAAAATGGTAACTTTGAAAAAGTTAAAGATGAAATAATTGCTGTAGTAGTTAATACTCGTAATATAGCTGATATGATGGAAGTTAACGATATTATTAAATTTTACGTATAGGTGTGAGCGAGATAAAAGCCAGTCGACCATTTTGTTTTAAGGAACATGAAATTCGATGCTATCCATCTAATGATATTTGAATTGTTAACCACGAATTTCTGAGAAATTGTATTACGAGTAATAATTTCAAAGAAGATAATAAAAATATAATTTTATATAAGTGCGAACGAGATAAAAAAGAGAGATAACATTACATAGTCGTTAAATTTTACTGTAACGTAAATATGTTTTATAAATATAATACAAAATAAATGACAACTATCAATTATTTATTCAGTATCAGAAGAAAATATATTCTTACCTCCTGTGGCAAGTTTCCAGTAGTAGGAGTTTCAAGCTTGCTTGTACTTTTATTTTTGAGAGTTCTCCTTGCCTCTCTGGTTCTTCTTGTTATGTCTTGTTCTTTTAATATTCTATTTGTTGTTCTGTTGTTTCTTCTAGATTTGTTATCATAAGTATTTTTTTCTAATTTATCTTTTTCAATATTGTCAGATTATTGTTTGTCCTTGTTGTTTATAAGCCCGTTTAATTTACTACTCATATAAAACGTTATAGGTATAGAAATAACATAAACATATAACTTATTCTTAACTTTAATTTATTTTAATTTTGTACTATTAAAGAAATCTAGAAATTGTTTCAACAGGTAGGTAAACTAGGTAAATTTAGATTCTTTTTTTTTTGTAATTTTTTTGAGTAATTTTATCTTACCTTTTTACTATTAATTTAAGGCCAATTTAAGGCACGAGATTTTTTTTTGCTTAATTTGTTTTCATCTTCCAATCAGGAACGGTCGATGAAATTGGTCGAAACACTTCCAAAACTTATATGCCAAATGTCTCAAATATCACTTAGCCTTAACTGTTAGGTCCAGAGTTATTTTATTAAATTACTTTCACTAGATATATATTATATAGAGTCTGCGTATAAAAATCAATATAAATTAATCAAATAGTTCCAAAAATAACCAGTGTTGTTTAAATGTACTTAAAGAACTCAAATGTTTAAATTCTCTTTTCTATTGATTCCTTGTAATAACGGTTGATATAAACTTAAAACTTGTTCTATTGCGAAAAAACGTGTTACTTTATCGTCAAATGGCGGTTGTTATTATTTATTTAGCTAGATTCCCTTCTGCTATGAAATCTTGGCTTTTCTCTGCTTCTTCCGCATTTAACTTATTGGTAGCTGCTTCTAGAGTGCCATGATCTTCTACCACTTCTACTCATTGATAGTTTGCTTCTTCTTCTTTCTTCTATTGTTCAGGATGCTCCTCCCGGATGGTCGTGGATGTTATAGTAGCCCTATCACAACAAATCCGAGTTGAGCCACCCTCAGTTGCCTTAACACTAGTTTACAGTTTGTAAAAATGAAACCGGTTGTTGAGTCTATGGTGAGAGACCAAGTGTTGCTGAATATTATTGTTTACAATGTCACTTAAACTATTTGATTATGTGGGAAACTTATAAGAGTCTATTGCATAAACCTATCTCTTGAATGTGACGGCGGGCGGCAGCGATGACCCAGACGCATGCGCGCAATTTTGAATTTCGAACCAAAAATTTGGTTTTTCGAATTTTATTTTTTTGGGATTTTTGTTTGTAAAATTTTAGGCCGTTTGTTTTTTTTTTTAATTTTGTTGTTTTTTTGTGTTGTTTTTTTTTTAATGGCGCGATGGCTTTTTTCGCGCGTTGCGTAGGTGGTATACACGCGTCGACCCGAGCCTCGCCGGTCACACTGATGTTGGAAGGTTGCATTGCTGCAATGGGCCTATCTCCATGCAAGGGTGTGAGTTGACCCCTACCACCCTGGCTCCCGGCCCATCCCAATGACTCGCGTTCACCTCGAAATCATCAAATAATGATTTTATGTGTTTATTATAAAACTTCTACTAAGTCTGTGTGCGTGTGATCTAGGAGATTCTAAGCGCAGAATTCGATAATTGAATCTGTATGTGTGTGCGTTCGTGTATTCGCTCTATTAGTACAGCCAATTAGAAAAAATTACCTAGATACTACTGCCTCTATTAATTTCACGAAAACCATATTAACATTGGATCAATACCAATTTTATATATGAACGAGATGCATTTAAAATGCATTTTATAATACTATCTATACTACCCACGCCTCGTTCATAGTTAAGTTATTAAAAATTATGGAACTTTCTAGGGACTATGTTAAGAGTTAAAAAAGGGTGTATTGAGAGATCGGCGACGCATACGATCCCCTGGTGTGTGCAGATGCTCACAGACTATGATAAACCTTTACCATCAGGCGAGCTGTATGCTTTTGTGTGAATAAAAAATCAATCATCATCAATCATCTTTTAATATGGTGGCATATTTAAAAAATAAAAAAAAAATCTTATTATTTTAAATTTGATTTCTGAAAACAATAAAAACGATAAACTGTCAAAATAAGGGAAATGTATTGTAATGGGTGCTGGTAGACCCATTGCTAGCAATATACCTTATCAGGTCGACTTCCATGCGGTTCCCCTGGAAACCAACGTGGTTATTTTTTATATATTCATCAAGCTGGGCCATTTGGCCTACTTTCATTTAAACTTATCATCCATGAATGGTGTTGCACCGCGTAACCAATAACGCATTTGGGGTTACCATTCCATTATCATCAATTTAAAAGCTGTCAAAAATTTATTAAAACTGTTACGTTTACTTGTCTTATATACAACTCTAACTTATTTATACAAAACAAAATATTCCCTACTAATATAAAAACTATGAAAGTGAGATTGTTTGTAATCTCTTGGTATCATAACAACTCGACCAATCGTCTGAATGAATCCATAAATGAAATTTACTACAAATTATTTGGGAAAGACAAGGGCATAGGCTACTATTACCCATTACACATGGACAAAGTCACAAGTAAAAACTAATATCTTAAAATTGTGATTAAAAAATTTATTCAAAGATGCAGAGTGATTCCTAGAAGGATCTTTTCCAGTCATTCAGTGTTAAAAATACCGAAAGAGAAATTTACTAGAGGGCTTACGCTGGAACTACTTCACTGGAAGCGGTGATAACTCACTTGGACAATGCTTGACTGCAATTTGGGGGTCCTAAGACCCCAGCCAATAGGTCTGAATTCTTCAAATTCATATTTAGGTCATTTAAAATTGATTTTCGTTCACTTCGTGCTGCGGAAGGTAAGTGAAGTTATCGCACAGCAAACCAAGTCAAAGCCCTCTTTTCTTTACTGAACATTTACCTCTTGGAGCATTTAGCCAGTAGTTGCTACGTTTGGCAGACGGGTTAGCAACCGCAGTTAGGCTTTAGTGATATTTTAAGAGGGACGCTGCTGCCTATCTCTTAACCATTAAGTTCCCTTAATCGCCTCATTTGAATGCCGTGTGGTCCCGGCATTTATTATAGTTACATATTACATAAAAAAGGCCGGAAAATTAGCTGATGTTACGGGTGCCTATAGAGAGCTGTTATCACTTACCATCAGATAAGCCGGATGCTTGTTTGCCCCTTGCGTTATACTCGTATATAGAGAAATAGCCCAAAAACTCTTGATATAACTGGGCACTATCTTAACACCAGTAACAATAATCTCATTGCGAGTTTAACTCTTTAAAAAAGCACCATACAATTATGTGATTGGTTGATATGGAATTTTGAATAATATAAAATTTTATTTTAATTCGCATGAGATCATGAAGGTTATATACACTTTCGATTTAAAAAAAATATCAAAATCGGTTCTAAATCAGCAAAGATATCACGTAACATACACACAAAGATAAACACCGAATTGAGAATAGTTTCTTTACGCTTTATTAAACTTTTATGACACAAAAACAATCATCAAAATCGATTCAGAACTGGTGAAGACAATATGTACGTATACAACAACACTGGTGTAAATATATAACAAAAAAATCATTATGAAATCCATAAGGAATATTTTTTTTGGAAATATCTCTTGAAAAAAATAGATCTTATTAAATTTAAAGTCTACTATTACTAGTTCTAAAATTATTATCCATTACACCCTGTGTACATATATTTATATTCAATTATCACACCCTGTATATGTAATATTACGTGCAGTTGTTAGCCTGCGATACTCACCCTCCATAGGCCAATGACCCGTGATGCAGTTTCACAATTGAATACTGTCCGGGATAAAGGCATAGCGTTGCTACAGTTGACCTATAGGTAACCTATGGTGTTACATTATCAAAATCAACATGTGCGTTTAAAACAAGTCTTTTTATTAACAACAAGACAATATTGTTTTACAGTTAATGTTATTTTTTTTTACATTGTTATACGTAGCAATGACCTAATTGCTTAAAAGGGAAGGATTGTTAGTTGAAATTCAAATTTAAAATATCTTTATTCATGTAGCTCTATTCCAGACACTTATGATGAGTCAAATCTACCGTCAGTTCGGAATGATTTCGAGATGAGAAGAACTGACAAGAAACTCAGATCGTTATCTTTTCAAATAAATTTTTATACATGTTTACAATAACACTGATTCATTTTTAAATTCAAATTTGAGAGAATAGAGTGACCACCAGCATATGTTATTGCAAAAGCAAAAAATCTAATCAGTGTTTGTAAAACAGACCAGTCCCCACAAGCAGCACCCGTTCACGAGTATGACGGATGAGCCCGCCATCATTGCACTCGACCATATTAGAGGGATCACATCGACCCGGCCCACCACGCCGCCACAAGTTTGAACTTTATAGCGGGCATGACTGTTTCAAGTTACTCCACTAAGTCCTACATTAAAATAATTTGATTTACATTATTTAAATTACAACATTTATTTATTTATTTATTCATTAGTACAAATATGTGTACATGGCGGACTTAATGCTAAAAGCATTCTATCCCAGTCAACCATAGGCAAGTGTCAAAAAACTCGAATGCGGTACTACTAATTATTGATATACATACATACTAAAATTACATATATAAACGAATAAATATATATGAATAACAAATATACTTACACATATATGATATATACTATATTATACACGAATTTAAATACAATATGTCATTAATAAATTTGTTCATGAATTTTGTTCATTAATTTGTTCATAATTGTTCGTTAATAAAGGAGATATTAGTACTTTTTGATAAAAAAGACAGTGGATGTAAACGGCTCAGGACCGGGAGAGGCGTATGTTTAGTGGTGGACGAATAATGGCTGATATGGCGATGACGATGGTTGATTCGCTATCATCATACCCTGTCAGGTCGACCCCCACACGGTCCACTCTGAAAACCATCGTGATTAATACCTGGCTGACCTCATTGTTTCATCCTCCACTGGTGCCTTTGTATATTGTTAGCATAGGCGGCTGCGTCCTCCTGCCCATGAGCATCAAGCACGTTGATTTCAAAGCGTAGTTGTGCATGAAAGAGTGCTTTTAGAAACGCATGGTGGAGGACCGCCATTCATACAAATGGTTAGGATGGAACTTTAATAAGTGGCGGGTTATACGTAGCTGAAAATCTGCAGCAGGTATCAATCCGAACTATTCTATTTTTACCCAATAGAAAAAAAAACTAGTTGCCTTTTATACCGTCTTGAGGAAGAAAAAAGGATTATAGTAACGGGGACTAGCGGCCTCATTACTAGAAATATGTCCTTCAAGCCGACCTCCACGCGGTCCCCTGTGGAAACTATCATGGTTGACTCCTGGTAGATTACGTCATGACAAATCTACAGACCTAACTTCATTCTTATTGATTCCTTACTAGTGCCCTGCCAGCTTATACCGTTAGAGCAGGCTGGGTTACCGTTCTATTCAGCATCATTATTCCAGCTGTTAACTGCCCTTGAACATAGGCCTCTCCCATAAGGAAGGCCTTGCAAGTAGTTGCCATACTTGACAAACGAGTTGGCGACCGCAGTTAGGCTTTGGTAATGTTTTAAGAGACGCTGCTGTCCACTCCTCGACTATTAAGTACGTACGGGATAGGAAGTAATGGCCCATTCTATGCCGGAGCCACATATCATTCATTTATTCATTCATTATGACCCATTTAAAAAATCTTGGTGATGAAATTAAGGTGATAATACCTACATAATATTCATAGTAATGTTCAATATGACATATTAACTAGTTTATCAGATATTCACAAACAAACAGTTACATATTTAAGTGCACATTTGCTGATGGGCGGTTTCGAATCCGCACTCGTTACAGGCGACAAGTAATCCCTCAGCTTATGGGGTGCGCAAAATTCTGTATGTCACTATTAAACTGCATGGTACACAAAGCCTGCGTACGGTCAGCAAAAACATTTATGGCTACATTTTTATAGCTTATTATTTATTTATTTTTTTACAACACAGGGGGCAAACGAACATGCGGCTCACCTGATGGTAAGTGACTACCGCCGCCCATGGTCACCCACAACACCTACGGCATTGCAGGTGTGCTGCCGGCCTTTTAAAAAGGAATATGTTCTTTTCTTGAAGGTTATGTTGTCGTATCGGTTCGGAAATACTGCTGCTGGAAGTTGATTCCAAAGAGTTTCAATACATCATCATCATCTCAGCCATTATCTGTCCACTGCAGGACATAGGTTCCCACATACTCCACACTTGTAACAGTCCACTCCACAGACTGCCACAAAGAACGGTCCTAAACCACTTGCATCCATTGACTTCCTGCAAAACATGTAAGGTCGTCACTCCATCCAGTAGGGAGTCATCCTACACTACATTTGCCCGCACGGGGTTGCCATTCAAGAACCTTTTTTCCCCTTTGGTTCAATACA